ATCACCTCACTGCTGGATTCTACCAGATTTTTAAAGAACTAACTCCAGTGCTTCTTAAAGTATTCAAAAGAATTGAAAGGGAAGAAATCCTCCCAAATTCCTCTTATGAAGCCTGCATCACTTAATTCAAAAACCAGGAAAAAAGCCATAATAAAAAGAAGACTATAGACCAAAATCCTTGATGAACATTGATGCAGAAATCCTCAAAAATATACCAGCTAATTGAATCTAAAGCATATAAAGATCATTTACCCAAAGCAAGTGGAATTTATCCCAGGGATGTGGGGATGGTTCATATATGCAAACCAATAAATGTGATTCATCACACTAAAAATTTGATTAGTAATAGCCACATAATTAGCGCAATAGATACAGAGAAAGCATTTGATAAAATACAACATCCTTTCATTGTAAAACATTAAGCAAATTGGGTATAGAAGGGAATATCTTAGCACAATCTAGGCAATATTTGACAAACCCATATGCAGGATCATATTGAATGGGAGAAAAGCTGGAAGCCTTTCAACTTAAATCTAGAACCAGATAAGGATACCCACTTTGACCATCGCTATTCATAATAGTTCTAGAATTTTTAGCCAGAATCATTAGACAAGAAAAAGAAATCAAAACTGATATAAATTGGAAAGGAAGAAGCTAAATTACCCCTGTTTGCAGATGACATGATCCTATATATAGGGGGAAAGGCTCCTCTAAGACTGTTGGAACTTATGACAAAGTTTGGCAAAGTTACAAGTTATAAAATCAGCACACAAAAATCAAGAGTATTTGTATACTTTTAAGATCCGTTCTGGTTACAGTAGCTACAAAAATTTTAAATACCTTGAAATGAATTTAACCAAGGATGTAAAAGATCTGTGCAATGAAAATTACAAAACATTCAAGAACGATACAGAAGAAGACACAGAAAAATGGAAAACTCTTCCATGTTCATCAATTGGAGAAATTAATATAATTAAAATGTCCATACTGTCTGAAGCAGTTTACAGATTGAATGTGATCCCAATTGAAAAACTCAGGGCATTATTCTAGCTCGAGAAAATGACACTAAAATTCATCTGAAAGCACAAGAGACCACAAATAGCTAAAGCTATCTTAAAAACAAAAATACAGAGGCATCACACATAATATCAGTTTCAAGACATACTACTGGGAAGTTACAATCAAAAGCCTGGTACTGGGACAAAAAAGTAGACATGTAGACCAATGGAACAGAATAGAAACCCCAGAACTTCATCCATATATTTTCTTTAAAGATTTTATTTATTTGAGGTAGAGCCACAGACAGTGAGAGGGAGAGACAGAGAGAAAGGTCTTCCTTTTGTTGGTTCACTCCCAAAATAGCCACAATGACCAGAGCTGCGCCAATTTGAAGCCAGGAGCCAGGTGCAGGGGCCCAAGGACTTGGGCCATCTTCTACTGCTTTCCCAGGTCATAGCAGAGAGCCTGATTGGAAGAGGAGCAGCCAGGCCTTGAACCGCTACCAATATGGGATGCAGACACCGCAGGCGGAGGATTAATCTACTGCGCCATGGCGCCAGCCCCATACATAAATACTTAACCAACTGATCTTTGATAGATGAGCTAAAATCACTCCCCTGGAGAAGGGACAATCTTTTCAACAGATGGTTTTGGAAAAATTGGAACTTTGTGTGGGGAAGTATGAAGTAAGATCCATACCTCGGGGCTGGTGCTGTGGCACAGAGGGTTAAAGCCCAGCCTGAAGCGCCAGCATCCCATATGGGCGCTGGTTTGAGTACTGGCTACTCCACTTCTGATCCAGCTCTCTGCCATGGCCTGAGTCCTTGGGCCCCTGCACCTGCATGGGAGATCCGGAAGAAGCCCCTGGCTCCTGGCTTTGGATCAGCTCAGATCCAGTTGTAGCCATTTGGGGAGTGAGCCAGCGGATAGAAGACCTCTCTCTGTCTCTACCTCTCTCTGTAACTCTCTCAAATAAATAAAATAAATCTTTAAAAAAAAGATTCCCACCTTTTAGAAAAAACAACTCATGGGGGGTGAACCAACGGCAAAGGAAGACCTTTCTCTCTGTCTCTCTCTCTCACTGTCCACTCTGCCTGTAAAAAAAAAAAAAAAAAAAATCACAGTGGATTAACGATCTAAATCTATGACCTAATACCATCAAATTACTAGAGGAAAATATTGAAAAAACTGTGACATATTGGCATAGGGAAGTAGTTCTTGGATAAGACCCTAGAAGCATAGGCAATAGAAGCAAAAATTGACAAATGGGATTACATAAAGCTAAGAAGCCTCTTCACTTCAAAGGAAACACTCAACAAAGAGGCAGCTGGCGGATGGGAGAAAATTTTTGCAAAGTATCCCACTGTTGGTGGGAATGTAAACTCTTAAAACCATTATTTAAGAAAGTATGTGGATTCCTCAGAAATCTGAAAATAGATCTACCATATGACCCAGTCATCTTGCTTCTGGAAATTTACCCAAGCAAATTGAAATCAGTATATGAGAGAGTTATCTGTAACACAATGATTTTGGCTGTTCAATTCAACTGATCAATCAATTAAAGTAGGGATATATATATATATGATGGATTATTAATCATAGAAAGAATGAAATTCTTTCTTCTGCAACAAAATGGATGCAACTAGAGACCATTATGTTTGGTGAAATAAGCCAGACCCAAAAAGAAAAATATCATGTTTTCTCTGATATGTGTTAGTACAGAATACAAAAAAGCAATGTGTGAGTGAAACTGACATTTATGATTTGATTATAATTTATAGCTCTCATCTATATCCATGTGAAACAGTGATCTATTTTTTACTTGTTGAACATTATGGCTAATATTGCATTAAGCCTGTTTATAAAGTAAATTCAAAGTATGTTGTTGAAAAACTAAAGGGGAAAAGAAAAAAAAAGGGCAAGGGGATTGAGGGATGTAGGGAGGAAGAGACTATGGTTTTCCTCCTAGAATAAGTACTGGTGCCTTCAAATTTTTCTTTTTTTAAGACTTTGAAATATTTGTAAGAATAGTTTTATTTTATCTAGTGTTTTCAATTTTGTGATGGAATAGTTTTGAGGTTACTTAATTTTAGTATTGCCAAAGTAGAAATCTATTTTAATTCTTCAGAATGGTAATTTGGTCTGGGAAATCCAGATTATTAGCTGTTACTCAGAGTTTATTCATTTTTTGATGTGTTCTTTTAAAACATGAAGAGCTAGTATTTTATTTCAGAACACCTTAAAACATATGTACCCGTGATCTTTGTTAGCCATCTATTTTCTAATAAACATGTAACCTAAGATTTTATGTTCAATTCTGTCTCCCTCTTTCTTTCTTTTTATCTCTCCCCCCTCTCTGTCTCCCCTCCCCCCCCATCTTCTATCCACTGGTTCATTCCCCAGATGACTGTAGCAATTGTGGGTGGCAGGAACCCAAGTACTTTGACCTTCATTCACTGCCTTTCCAGGCCCTTTAGCAGGGAGCTTGATCAAAAAGCACATCAGGGTGCCTGGTGCCATAGGTTAATCCTCTGCCTGCAGCACCAGCCAGCATCCCATTTGAGCACTGGTGCTAGTTCTGGCTGCTCTTCCAATACAGCTCTGCTGAGGCCTGGGAAAGCAGTAGAGAGCCCAAGTGCTTGGGCCCCTGCATCCCTGTAGGAGACCAGGAAGAAGCTCCTGGCTTCGGATCGGCATAGCTACAGCCATTGCGGCCATTTGGGGAGTGATCTAACAGAAGAAGACCTTTATCTCTGTCTCTTTCTCTCACTGTCTATAACTCTACCTCTCAAATAAAGAAATGAAATTTTTTTGACAGAGTTATAGACAAAGAGACAGAGAGAAAGGTCTTCCGTTGCCGTTGGTTCACCCCACAATGGCCGCTGCGGCCGGTGCGCTGCGCCGATCCAAAACCAGGAGCCAGCTGCTTCCTGCTGGTCTCCCATGCGGGTGCAGGGCCCAAGCCCTTGGGCCATCCTCCACTGCCCTCCCGGGCCACAGCAGAGAGCTGGACTGGAAGAGGAGCAACCGGGACAGAACCGGCGCCCCAACTGGGACTAGAACCCAGGGTGCCAGCACCACAGGCGGAGGATTAGCCTAGTGAACTGTTGTGCTGGCCAGAAATGAAATATTTTTAAGAAAAAAAAATTAGCACATCAACTAGGATGAACTCCGATATGGGATGCTTGCAGCACAATTGACAGCTTAATTTACTATACCCCAATGCTGGTCCTGTGACTTTTTTTTGAAGAGTGTGCCTTTCTTCCTTTTATTTATAAAACTTTTTATTAGTAAATAATTTGCTTCATATTTGACATTTATTTTCTTAGACTTTCATTATGGAGATTTTACAAAAGCTCCAGGCTTCTTATAAATATTGACCAAAATTTCAGTTTTTTCCCCACATAATTGTCAATCTTCAGAATTTCATTTTCTTACATGCATTGTGGACAGATAAATGTCAATAATAATAATATTCTAAATCACATACTCAGTTTATTGTTGGTTGATGAGCCTGATGATATTGTTCCCCTAAATATAATCAGCTAGTTACCATCTGTAATAAAACTTAGAAGTTTAACTTATTTACAAAAGGGGTAGGGGCACCGGATTCTGTCCTGGTTGCCCCTCTTCCAGGCCAGCTCTCTGCTGTGGCCCAGGAGTGCAGTGGAGGATGGCCCAAGTGCTTGGGCCCTGCACCCCATGGGAGACCAGGAGAAGTACCTGGCTCCTGCCATCGGATCAGTGTGGTGCGCCGGCTGTGGCGGCCATTGGAGGGTGAACCAACGGCAAAGGAAGACCTTTCTCTCTGTCTCTCTCTCTCACTGTCCACTCTGCCTGTCAAAATAAATAAATAAATAAATAAAGGGGGGGGCTAAATTTAGAGAGTTGACGAAGATGTAGTTGTTCTGAGATAGTAAAGTCTATTTTGTGTAAATAAGTGGTTATTTTTAAGTTGTTTAATATATTACGGTAGGTTAATAAAAATATGACTTCTTCAGGTTCAGTCCTCAGTGGCTGTTGGAACCCCAGATTACATCTCTCCTGAAATCCTTCAAGCTATGGAAGATGGAAAAGGCAGATATGGACCTGAATGTGACTGGTGGTCTTTGGGGGTCTGTATGTATGAAATGCTTTATGGAGAAACACCATTTTACGCAGAATCTCTGGTGGAGACATATGGAAAAATCATGAATCATAAAGTTAGTATATTTTACTTTTTTCAAGCTAATGTGATCACTAACATAATATTAGAAGTGCCAATAAGTGGGAAATTGAATATCTTTAGTTTTATAACAGATAAGCAGAAATTTTATATCATTGTTAATTATCATTTATATTTAGTTGTGACCATAACACATATGAAAAATTCCCAACCTTAGTAATAAATTAAATGTGTTGAGTGAGATACTTTTTTTCTTGTCAAATTGGCAAAGATCAAAAGAAAGATAGTAGTCTGTACTGTTAATAATGCAATAAAATGGACATTCTATTACATTATATTCCAGAGGAATATAAATTGGTATATCTTTTGTGTTAAGAAATTTACAAGTGTGTTTCTCGAGTCTTAAAAAATGGTTGTTAGAAGTTTTGATGGAATTATTTCAGTTTGCAGTCAGTTCTTGGACTCTACCCTTTGGAGATATTCAGTATAATAAAGATGTATGTGTAAGGACAACTGTTCCAATATTATATATGATGAAAAAAATTGAAAACCAGATCACAACAGAAATGAATTAATAAAGCTTGAATCTATTTAGTACTAAGTGAAACAGAAATACATTGTCCATAATAAGAAGAGGAAAGGTTTTCCTACATAATTCTGAGATTGTTAGCAATTTTACAGCTCCAGAGTACATGAATAGGAATATTCTACCCCAGAAGAATTACTTCTACTCTTTTCTATTTGTTCTGGGGATGCATTTTATGTTAGTTGCTTTACATATATAAAAACCAGTTCATTTAGCTTATGTTTTATGTGGCTGAAAAGGTAGTAGTTGATAAGTTATGAAAAATTGAGTAACTGGAAGTGGCTACAAAACTGTACATAATGTATACAGCATTTCAGAAAGAAATCTTTGTAGCATGACATGGAATTTAATAGCACACATTCTGGAATGAGACAGCTTCAGTTCAAATTCCAGTTCTAACATTTACTAGTTATGTGACACAAAATTACATAAACCTTCTGTATCTTTTTTTCTCTATAAAATTAGAGTAATAGCCACCTATGATGATTCTTGTAAGGATTAAATGATTTAAATGAGTACATTTCTTTAAATAGTGTTAGCTAAATAGGAAATTATTTTATAATTTATATTATCATTTAGTCATAAGTATGTGACTGTGAACATTATCAGCCTCTGTACTCCATTCAAGTACTGAGTCAGATTCTGTTACTTTTAATCAATTCTTAATTCTGATAGCTGCAAAAGATATTCTAGCATTTAATAAATTTTTCTTTCTATGGCACCTGTATGACTAAGTCATATAGCATTAAAAGTTCTTTTAGGAAAATGATCTCAATTATTTCTGTCTCTGTTTTAGTATCACTACTTTGTACCAGAATTTACTTATTAGATATTTTTAAGAAATTAAGTCAACCAACCTATGCAGTTAGTTAACTACTGATGTGCTTTTTGTTTCTGTTACTCTCTGTTAAGGAGAGGTTTCAGTTTCCAGCCCAAGTGACTGATGTGTCTGAAAATGCTAAAGATCTTATTCGAAGACTCATTTGTAGTAGAGAACATCGCCTTGGTCAAAATGGAATAGAAGACTTCAAGAAACATCCATTTTTTAGTGGAATTGATTGGGATAATATTCGAAACTGTGAAGCACCCTATATTCCAGAAGTTAGTAGCCCAACAGATACATCAAATTTTGATGTGGATGATGATTGTTTAAAAAATTCTGTAAGTATAATGCAGTGAAGAAGTTCTGTTCCTCTGTTTCTTTCTTCCTTTTCTTTTTTAAAGATCGTTATTTATTTTTAAAAACAGAGATAGAGAGATAGAGAGAGATGTTCCATCTGCTGGTTAATTCCCTAGATGGCTGCAACGGATAGCCCTGGAATAGGCAGGAGCCAGGAACTTCATCTGGGTCTCCCACATGGGTGATAAGGGCCCAAATACTTGGGCCATCTTCCACTGCTTTTTCCAGGCCATAAACTGGGAGCTGGATTGGAAGTGGAGCAGCTGGGATGCAAACTGGCACCCACATTGACTGCCAGCATTACAGGCACTTGCTTTACTCACTGCGCCACAATGCTGGCCCCTCCTCAACTTTTTAAAATGTGTTTGCAAAGAATTTTTTTTTGTATGTGGTAAGTATTTTTCTAACACTACTTTACCTTTGACAGTCAAACAACTATCATGGTGCTTATTTTCATAATTCAAAGAATTAAAAGTTTACTGAGGTGAATATATCCATTTGTGACTGAGAACAACATTAAAAATAAAAATTTAGTTCTTAGATAAGTTATGCCATTAGGTTTCCTAAGAAGTGTACAGATAGAATCCTTTATAAAGTGGATTTCACATTGTAAAGTGAAGAGATTCACATATCTTTCCCTAAAAGCCAGCCATAAAACTAGACAACCATTTCAGGTCTTCATATATCAGCTGAAGGGAAATAAGTTGAGAAGTACTTATTCATGAACCATGGTGAAGCTTTGGTTAACATCACACATACCATACCTCACCCCTGCCTGTTTGGGATAGTGGTGCTGGGAGCATAGAACAACCGTGATGCAAGAAGGGGCCACTCCATTTGGAGTAGCCAGTACTTGAAGTAGCTAACAATTCAACCTTTCTTAGCTTGTAGACCATATTATAACAGGTCAGCAAAAATTGTTGACTGCTGCTGTCACCTATTAGAATATATTAAGTTAAAATTTAGGAAAGTAAGAACATAACATTTTTATGTGTTTTTCCTTTTTAACTTTCATAATTTGAGTTTTCATTTTATATAGTTATTTTATTTCCTACTAAATTAATTTTAATTCTACACTAAATTTATTTTTACTTCTTTGTCACTTTTCACAAGTTCACAAGAAAGAATTTCACTTCATTTACCATTTTTTAATACTAGAATTATATTTGCTGCTAGAAATTATCAATCAATTAAACATATGGTACAGTTGATTCTAATTGTGGTTAGTAGTTCTATAAAGTTGCTGTGAATACTATATTAGCTAATATTGACCTATTGCTCTGCAGAATGTCATGTTTCTGTGAGCCTCTGTTCAGAGCATTTTCATCAGGTGATCAGTCCATACACTTTTATGAATATTTCTGTTTGAAAACATCTTATATAATGTATGTTCATTCATTAACATGACTTCACCGCCATAGCCCTATAGGATGTGCCTGAACAAAACTTACCTAACACACGTTACTCTCTCCATTTGGGCACATCAATCTCCTTGCATTTAGAAACACTAGATAGCACTTCAGCACTATGCTTGGGCTCCATTTTAAACAGTGAAATCACCCACAAAAGACATAAAAATATGAAAAATTCACTATGAAACATTTTGCAAAAGATAGTTATTTATAGAATGACAGCTTAAAAGAAGGCAGAGTGTCTCCTGTTCAACCTCTGCTGGGAACGTCAACATAAGGTGACTAGGATTTTTCTCTCTTCTGTACCTGTCTGTGAATAATTATCTGAAAATGATCACAAGAACATCACAACCATTGAACTTAAAAATCAATTTTAGCCTCTAGATGAATTCACAAATAGTAATACATGAATTGTGATGGTATACTCTATGTCAGACTTTCAATCTTAATTTTCATTTTGTTAGAATTTTACGGTAACAATATTCTTTTAATTCATTTAAATATCTGTACCAGATATCATTATTTCTAAGTTAAACAGTCATATATTTCTTATTGATAATTTAATGTTTGTAGCCCAGCTTTCAGGTGGAAGCTGTATATTTCTTACCAGATATTTTTCCTTTCTCTAGGAAACAATGCCCCCACCAACACATACTGCATTTTCTGGCCACCACCTGCCGTTTGTTGGTTTTACATATACTAGTAGCTGGTAAGTTTGAAAAGTTAATATAATTTGGACAATTTAAAGCAGTCTAAAGTGAATTGAAATGTTAAAAATGTAATGTGTGAGAGAGTCTTGTAAATTAAATACCTAAAAAACTAAAATGAACCTTTGGCCATTAAAAAATGATATTACAAAATGAATGGAACACATAACATCTTAAATCATTTTGGAGGAGAAAGAATAGGATAAATGGAGAACTCAGAATGTAACCCTTAGCATGGGGCAGTAATTAGAAGAGCCCTAATGCTATTGAATAAATACTCTGTTAGTGTCAAGCACCAGAACTTTCAACTCATTAGTCCTACCATTGTTTCACTGTCAGTCACTACACATGTATCTTCCATTTCCTCCTTACCCAGTTGAAATTCCATTATAATGATTATAATTACTCCTTGTGTGCTACTTCAATTCCCTTGGCTGTCTCTTATTCTAATTGTTTTTGCTAAGTCAACATGCATTGTTAAAACTTAATTTTCTGCCAGTTCCTGTGCAGTTCAGAGTGATTAGAGCAAATATTCTAGAACTATTCTCTGTAGTCTTCACATTCATGATTATTGAACTCAGGTATCTCTTATTGCTGCCTGGAAAATATACATTAATGTATTTACTCTTCCTTTTGACCCTGGTAGCTATTTCATACGTTATACTTGCCTCAGAAGTATCTGTCATCCGCCCTGTCCGCTCCCAATTTTGGGTCCTCTTTGAGAGGACTGAAGCAAGCAGCAGCAGATAAGCTTCCATGAGCTTTCATTACATTTCCCATGTATACATCTGTATTCTAGTATGTTGTCATCTTTTCATGAATAACCGTGCAGGCTTCTAGCTAAGGCCAGACCCATCTCCTACTGCCTAGTCAAGTGCATTGCTTGCTTTTATATCATGAGCTTTTCCCCTTTCTGTGTCATCTGCATTGTCAAATCCTTTCAGTTTACAAACATGCAGTTCATTATCTCATGTTAAAGCAAAATATATCATCTCTCTGGATCTTTTCCTTCATCTGTTACCAATCATTCTCTGGTGTACATTAGAGCAAAGTTACTTGAAACTGTTGACTCTGTTTTGTCCATTTTTTGAAAATGCTATTCTTTGTTACTTCCATTCCTTTCAGGTCTGTGTCAATTCATGCAAACTGCTTTTATTGATGTAACCTTTGATCTCCATATTGCTAAATCTAATGCTTACTTCTCAGTCCTAGTCTTAGTTATTTGCTTATTTTAGTCTTACTTGCCACATCTGTATAACATTAAAAAAGCTTTCCTTTCTTAGCTTCTAGGGTACTTTCCTGATTTTCCTCTTTGTTTCTGGGCACTCCTTCTCAGTCTCCATACCACTTTCCTCCTTATCTCTCTGATTTCTGAATATCAGAGTGCTCTGTGACTCAGTCTTTTGATTTCTCTTTCCCATCTGTACTCTCTGATGTTCTCCCAGGTATTTGCAGATGACTCTCAAATGTGTATTTCCAGCTGGGCTCTCACTCTTGATCCTTCTATTTGAAATCAATTTAAGCCACATACTTAATGTGTTTGTAACTTTGTTTCTTAAACTTTTCTGAATCTGTCCAAATGATACTATTAAATGATAAGTCAGAACATACCACTTCCCTGATCAAGACCGATCTCACCCATCCCCCAATTCCAGTGGCTTCATTTCTTAACTCCAAACCAAAGTTCTTAGAAGATGTTACACAACTGGCTCAAATTTATCTTGCAGACTTTGTTTCCTTCTGCTCTTTCCCTTGCATATGCCACTACATCCACATAAGCCTTCTCTTTGGCTCATGAACATACCAGACATATGCCTCAGGGATATTGCACTTCTTTTCAATATGTCTGTAATGCTTTTCCTCCTGATAGTTGCTTGGCTGGTCCCTCCTTATGCTTACTTGGATTTTCTGAAGATACTTTCACAGTGACAACTTTCCTAACCATTTTTATCAACTTAGTACTTCATTTCTCCATTTCCTCTAACTCCACTGCTTCTAACCCTTTATCATAGATGGAGTATTTCATTTGTTTATCTGATTTATTTATGTCTCTGTCGTTAGATTGAAAGTTCTGTAGGGGTAAGGTTTTTTTGCCTGTTTTGTTTAGTGCTATTATGTCCAGTACCTCACATTTTCAATTCAGTTGTATTCCCTTAAAGAAAACCCCTGGTTCTGCATTCCAAATTCTGGTAAAAAGCATATGGGATTGGAACTTTAAAAATAATGTTTATTTGAAAGTCAGACACAGAGAGATCTCCCAACTTCTGATTTACTCCTCAAATGCCTACAACAGCCAGGGTGGGGCCAGGCCAGAGCCAGGAGCTAGGAACTCAATCTGTGTTTCTCACATGGGTGGCAGAGATCTAGCTACTTGAGCCATGACCTAATTTCTCCCAGGGTGCCCATTAGTATAAAGCTAAAATTGAGAACAGAGCTCCGGCTCAAATCCAGGCACTCAGATGTGGGATGCTGGTGTCCCAAGCAACCCCGGTTGGTGTTTTCGATTTGCCGTTTCACTTAGATGGCTAAATTATTTTTAAACAACCAGTAGCCCTTTGGCAAACTTCACTGTGTTTGTGGTTACTTTTTAATAACTTTTCATTTTAAAAAATGCTTCTAAAAGTAGTTTATGGAGATTTTGCCCAAAAAAGTGTTTTTTTCAGTCATTCTAGATGGCTAACTGTAACTTGATATTCAAACACTTTTTTTAAATGAGCAATTTTAAAAAGCTCATCTTTTTACTTCAAACTTTTTATTACAATGTGAACCCATGGGTTTTTTGTTTTTTGTTTTCTTCAGCGTTCTTTCTGATCGGAGCTGCTTAAGAGTATCAGCTGGTTCCACCTCACTGGATCTTGATGCTAATGTTCAAAGAACTCTAGATAACAACTTAGCCACTGAAGCTTATGAAAGAAGAATTAAGCGCCTTGAACAAGAAAAACTTGAACTTAGTAGAAAACTTCAAGGTAAATATACTTGAAAAGGATATTTTATCATTTTGGATTGGACTCACAGTGTTGTGAACTGTTTATTACAAGCGGTTCTTTTATTCCAGAGAAATTATTTTATTAAGTAGCTAAAAAAAAAACTAATTGTAGAAATTTGTGCAGAACACAGTGATCATACAGTCAACAGTAAACAGCAACAAAATAGCATTTGCTTCCCCTGGGCCTCTATGTATGTATCTAAATGTGTGGGAATAAATACTCTAGAGAGAGGAATGGAACTACAAAGAAGAAAGTTACTGTTGTCACTCCAGTACTTGCTTAACACTTGAATTACTTTTTATTTCATATTTGCTCAGTCCTTAATAATTTTAGTTCTATCAAAATGTCTGCTTAACAATTTTTTACAGGCATAGTATTGGTGATTTTAAAATGCATGTAGGTGATGGTTTAAGATTCTTAGTTTCTTGTTTATTTACCTTCAGTGATCCTATTCTCCATATTACCTCATTCATAAGATTATGTTTTGAGATCAAAATATCTAAAACCTTCATTGATCTTAGTTTCAAGCAAAGTCTCTATAACCTACTGCTGATGATTTCTAGTGAACTCTCTGGTGCTTTTAACCCATCAACAGCATTTGACCCAGCTGACCATTTCTTCCTTATGATAATTCCCTTGTTTTTATTTGGGTTGCTTTCCTTTCCTGGTTTCCCTTTTCTTCATAAGCTAGTGCTTCTCGGTCATCTTTGCTAATATCTCCGTAAGTATTTTACTTGTGAATGGTAGACTACTCTAGAATATTCCATACTTAACAGTTGCTCAGAGTTAAAACCTCACAGCCATCCTTAAACTTGTACATTTTCTCATATCCCCATGTCTGATGAATCAACAAAATAAGGTCAGCTCTACCACTGCAATTGATCCAGAATCTGATTATCACTCACAGTGGGCTTCTAACTCCATTTCATACCACCATCAACTCTTACCTATAATTACAATAACTTAATTCGTTTCCCTATTTTTTTCTTTTCTCCCACTAACTCCTTCTTTTATATATTTTTTTCACCCAATATAAGAGGCAGATAATCCTGTTAAAACACAAGTTAGATAACTTTACTTACTTATCTCCACACCCAATAACTTCCTATGTTATTCACACTAATAACCAAAAATTTCAGTGCAGCAGCTGGGACTTGAACTGGTGCCCATATGGGATGCCAGCACTGTAGGCAGCGGCTTGACCTGCTATGCCACAGTGCAGGGAGACTTGGATGAGGTTCCTGGCTCCTGGCTTCAGCCTGGCTCAGCCCAGTCATTGTGGCCATTTGGGGAGTGAACCAGTGGGTGGAGGATCTCTCTGTCTCTGTCTCTCTCTGTAGCTCTGCCTTTCAAATAAATAAAATACTTTTAAAAAAAGAAAGAAAAGACTTTTTGAGGAGACACACAATAAATAAAATACAAAAGTAGGGTCATCAATGTAGATAAAGAAGGTAGGGGATATATTAGATTTTTGACAAGAAAAAGAAAATATATGAAACAGACAATTTAGAGAATAGAGTTCAGAACTATCTTAGGATTATCAAACATTACCAAACTATTTAAGGTTAATGATCGTGAACTTAAAAGATTTTTTTTTAATTTGAAAAGCAGAGTGACAGCAGAGGGAACAATAGGGAGTAAAGGGTGGAGTTGAAAGAGAGAAGGAGAGAGATCTGATTCCTCCCCAATGGCTGCAAAGGCTGAGGCTAATCCAAGCTAAAGCCAGGAGCCCAGAACTCTTATCTTTTTTTTTTTTTTTTTTTTTTTTTTTGACAGGCAGAGTGGACAGTGAGAGAGAGAGAGACAGAGAGAAAGGTCTTCCTTTTTGCCCTTGGTTCACCCTCCAATGGCCGCCGCGGCCGGCGCGCTGCGGCCGGCGCACCGCGCTGATCCGATGGCAGGAGCCAGGAGCCAGGTGCTTTTCCTGGTCTCCCATGGGGTGCAGGGTCCAAGCACTTGGGCCATCCTCCACTGCACTCCCTGGCCACAGCAGAGAGCTGGCCTGGAAGAGGGGCAACCGGGACAGAATCCGGCGCCCCGACCAGGACTAGAACCCGGTGTGCCGGCGCCGCTAGGCGGAGGATTAGCCTAGTGAGCCGTGGCACCGGCCCAGAACTCTTATCTTGATCTCTCCTGGGTGGCAGAGGCCCAAGCATTTGGGCCATCTTCCACTCCCCAGGTGTATTAACAGGGAGCTGGATCAAAAATAGAGCAGCTCGAACTCAACTCCAGTATGGAATGCCAACATCTCAAGCTGTGACTTAATCCACTGTGCGACAACAGTGGCCCTAATCATGAAATTTAAATGTGGGGTGTGTATATGACACAGTGGTTAAGCTACCACGTGAAACAACTGTTTTCCCTATCAGAGTGCCTAATTTGAGCTGTGGCTACTCTGCCTCCTATCCAGCATCCTGGTCATGCACACCTACAAGAGCATCAACTCATGGCTCAAGTACTTGGGTCCTTGGCATGCACATGGGAGACTCAAGAGTTCCAGGCTCCTAGCTCTGGTCTTGGCCCAGCTGTTGATATTGTGGATATTTGGGGAGGGAACCAGCAGATGGAGGTTATCTCTATCTCTTGTTCTCTTTGTCTCTCTTCCTTTCAAATAAAATAGGTATTTTCTTCAGCCACTTTCATCTTCTACATTGCTATTACAAAGGAAGAGGAGAGTAGAATGTAGCCAAGATTGTGGCTTTCTTGGCTAAGTTCAGTGAAGGAGAATAGGACAAGATATTGAAGGTTTACACAAAGCAGTGATTGCCCAAAGAATATAACTTGAGTAAGTAAGGCAGAAAGACAGAAAACTAGAAAGTGTTAGGAACAGTGGATTGGCACTCTGGGTGGTATGAAGAGTTGTTGAGGAGTCTTATCTGTAATAAAATGGTATAAGTTTAGAGGTATGATTTTGTAGATTGTAGTTACTGATCACCACAAAGCATACATTAGGATTTCACAATCAATTGGTTAACTATAAACATTTGGTGCAGGATAATTCTTTGATGTGAGAGATAGTTTCACATTCTGTTAAATATTGATCATTCCTTGTCCCTGACACTAAATGCCTGTAGCAATCTCCTAGCACTGTAAATAACACCCCTTCTCTCATCCCCTCTCCATAAGGTGGTGATACCACCTGCAGTTGAGAACCACTAGTCTAGGGCCAGTTAATTTAGTGGTTAGATTGGGGCTGCATGTATGCAAATCCCTTTTTTTTTTTTTTAAGATGTATTTATTTATTTGAAAGCTTGGGTTAGAGAGAGAGCTCTTTCATCTGTTGGCTCACTCCCCTGAAGAAATCCACTGGGGGGCTTCTAAGGTTTTAATTTCTTCTTAAATGAGAGCCCTTAATGAAAGAAAATCAGGGCCGGCGCCGTGGCTCAATAGGCTAATCCTCCGCCTTGCGGCGCCGGCACACCGGGTTCTAGTCCCGGTCGGGGCGCCGGATTCTGTCCCAGTTGCCCTTCTTCCAGGCCAGCTCTCTGCTATGGCCCGGGAGTACAGTGGAGGATGACCCAAGTGCTTGGGCCCTGCACCCCGTGGGAGACCAGGATAAGCACCTAGCTCCTGCCTTCGGATCAGCGTGGTGCGCTGGCCGTAGCGCACTGGACGCGGCAGCCAATGGAGGGTGAACCAACGACTAAAGGAAGCCCTTTCTCTCTCTCTCTCTCACTGTCCACTCTGCCTGTCCAAAAAAAAAAAAAAAAATCAGTCTTCTATTTTGGTCTCTGGATGTGTGTAGACAAGAAGTTTGGAACTTTGGTAACACTGTGGAATCATATAAAGAAAGCCTAAGAACAGAGAAATTATCTCAATATTTGGACTGAAACCATCTACCTCTAAATCCTTATGTAGGAAATTATATTGTTTAAGAATATTAGTTCTAACAGGGCCTGGTTATATTGGAAACTAATTCCTAACCAATGCTGACAATATAGAGTGGAACTTTCAGGATTAATTTACAGTCAATTACAGTTTTGACCTAGTTCACCTTGCCTATGCATGCTGTTGTTTGATACTAGGATGTTGTTCACACTCAAGTCGAAAAGAGTAGCTGATAAAAACCAGCTAGTATTTGCAATAGAGATGTATGTGTCTGAGAAGCCAGAGTTAGATGCTGTGTTGATTTTGATCAAGAGTCACAAAAATTAATAAAAGGAGTAGTAAAGGGCAGAGAACAATAGGCAAAATTCTCTTCAAGTAGAGAATAAGGAAGACAAATGAATAACTATAATCAACAGGAAGTGAATGTTTCAGCAGACCTAGGCATTTTAGCTAGGTTTTAAGGAGCAAGGATGCCTGTTTCACTGTATGCCATGCAGAAGGTGAGGTATCAGCAGAAAGATACCTTCTATTATTCTATTGGATATTTTTATATCTCCCCATTTTCCAGTCCCAATTTAGATTGCTTTAAAAAATAAAAATAAAATTTTCCAAATAATAACTATCAAAGGGATAAATCTTTGGCATGTTTTGAACCAAAAGAAGAAATGTATGAGATACTGGATGTAGATGATCATGATCTGGTAAACAATGTAGTATACCTTATATCTTTAATTTAAGTTAACTAGTATTTACTAACAACCACGCCTATAAAGATCATCACATACATACACAGTAATACTTCAAAAAGTTAAGGAATTAATGGTAATGGAATTAAAAGGTAAGTTTACTTTGGGGCAAAGAATTTTTGAAATCCATACCTGTGTATACACACACACATATACAATACTGATTTTCATTTTCAAAAAGAATTGCAGTAAGGAAAACATTAGCAATTTTTGCCCCCTCCATAAATGGCAGAAAATTATTTTAAGACAAAGGTTAGTAGTTTTATTTATGACATAAAATGGATTTAGTTTTCCTTTTTCCTATATCTTTTCATGGTATCTGGGAATAAGCCTTAGTAGAGTTTCTTTAATAAATGTTTCTTTAAAAGTACCCTTTTATCTTCTGATTAGGACTCCTGAGTAAATTAATAGTCTATTGTAACTAAGTATTTCAGTTAAATTTGTGAACCAGAGTCATTTGCAAATGTGCTTCAAATTTCATACTTAATATTTGGAATGCTAGCATTCTATATATTACATATTAATATGTTTAAGTCTATTCACCTGATTCAATTCCTAAAAGAGTATTTGATGTACAAATGTGTTATCGCATTGTGATGTTTCCTACTAGGACTAAAAGAAGTTGAATAGTTGATTGGCTGGCAGAGTAAACCAAACATTTTTTAAACTAAAAATCTTACATAGTAGCGTGGAGTTTTGTCATATATATCTATTATAATTTCAGTTCACACAATGGAATTTTTGTGACTTAATTTTAATGTTCCTTCAATCCTTTTGATGATGCATAGATTTTTCTGGTATATGGAAATGTATAAAGATTTTTCTATAACAAAATATACTACATTAGTTTGAAGTTGTAGTTTATGATATTTTTCATTCTGTCTTTTATTCTTTATTTTAAAGAGTCAACACAGACTGTCCAGGCGCTTCAGTATTCAACTGTTGATGGTCCATTAACAGCAAGCAAAGATTTAGAAATAAAAAATTTAAAGGAAGAAATTGAAAAATTAAGGAAACAAGTAACAGGTAAATTTCTGTGACTCACTGTTAATTCAATTTAGTACATTTTTAAAGAATAGTTTATTCACAAAGCATCTATTGATTACCTATTTGTGTTATGTGATGTGAGGTATATGCTAATAAGGGAAATGCAAAGAATATTGTGATTTCTGCTTTCAGGAAGCTCATGTTTTGGTCTGGTCAGCAGATGAACAGAGATAGGCATTAAAACGTATTTGAAAAGGCTGTGAGGAGAAATACACTAAGATATATGGGAAGTACAGGAGAAGAACACTTAACCCAGACTAAAAAGGAGCAAGTGTGACTTTTTTAGAAGTGTGGCGTTTAGTTTGGGATATTGAATTGGAATTTATCTGGCAAGCCACATATATGAATGGGGAAAAGATGTTCAGATTGAAGAGGGATACACACACACAAACACACACATATCAAGATTATACAACATTTATTTCCTTTTTTTTTAATTCATTTACCTATTTATTTTGAAAGGCAGAGAGAGAGAGAGCAATCTTCCATCTGCTGGTTAACTCCTCAAGTTGCTGCAGTAACTGAGGCTGGGCCAGGCTGAAGCAAGGAGCCAGGAGCCTTTTCTGGGTCTCTCACCTGGCTGTAGGGGCTCAAGTACTTGGGTCATATTCCACTGCTTTCCCAGGCATGTTATCAGGAAGCTGGATCAGAAGTGAAGCATCTGGAGCTTGAACTAGCAGAGCTGTGCCGATCTGAAGACAGGAGCCAGGAGCTTCTTTTGGGTTCCCCACATGGGTATAGGGGCCCAAGGACTTGGGCCATCTTCCGCTGCTTTCCCAGGCCATGGCAGAGAGCTGGATCATAAGTGGAGCAGTCGGGACTCCAACCAGTGCCGATGTGGGATGCCAGCACTACAGGCAGTGGCTTTACTCACTACACTATAGCATTGGCCCCTGAAACTTTATTTCTAAAAAATTAGATTAGGAAGATGATAAGCTGAGTCATTTATTTTGCTTTGATACCAACAACATGTTAAGAGTGGAACTGTTAGGGTTGTATGACACTAAAAATGCAGTGGAACACAAGATGAGCTAGGATGGCCATTGATTTATCTTCAGAAGAAGTAATATAGATTTGGAAAATTGATAAGCTTGTTGCAAATCTAATTTTTTTATAATACAATGTGACTGAATCTTAGTATCTTTTAAAATCTTATTTTAAAATTAAAAACTGCAGGGCCGGCGCCGCGGCTCACTAGGCTAATCCTCCGCCTAGCGGCGCCGGCACACCGGGTTCTAGTCCCGGTCGGGGCGCCGGATTCTGTCCCGGTTGCCCCTCTTCCAGGCCAGCTCTCTGCTGTGGCCAGGGAGTGCAGTGGAGGATGGCCCAGGTGCTTGGACCCTGCACCCCATGGGAGACCAGGAAAAGCACCTGGCTCCTGGCTCCTGCCATCGGATCAGCGCGGTGCGCCGGCCGCAGCGCGCCAGCCGCGGCGGCCATTGGAGAGTGAACCAACGGCAAAGGAAGACCTTTCTCTCTGTCTGTCTCTCTCACTGTCCACTCTGCCTGTCAAAAAAAAAAAAAAAAATTAAAAACTGCAGCAGTAATGTGGTTTGCACAATAATTGTGTCTTTGTTGCTTCCATGTCATAGCTAACTTTTTTTTGAGTTTTGAACAAATTTACTATTGAATAACAAAATACGTATTAAATTTCTGATGGAAAATGTGATTTGTGTTTTGGGTTTCCTGCATTGTTAACATTTCATATTTTCAACTAGGCATGAAAAATGAGGTATGACCATTCTGTGTGTTTTTTTTTTTTTGAAAGGGGAAAGGTAATTTTATTAGCTTGATTTTGCCTGTCAGCATCATCTCATTTCTGCTCTTAATTTTTTTTAAATTTCTTTAAAAATATAATTCATTTGTATTACTTGTACATTTTTGCGAGGTACCCAACAATAATTGAGTACATGCATACAGCATAAACTGATCAAACAATTAGCATTTCTTTCTTTTCTTTTTTTTTGAATATAGTTACTCTTCTCACCATACCCGCCTTCCCACCCATACTCCCACCCCTCCTCCACCTCTTCCCCCTATCCCCTTGCTAGTCCCATTCTCCATTAAGATTCATTTTCAATTAATTTTGTACACAGAAGACCAACTCTATATTAAGATTTCAACTATTTGAAATAACACATACACACACACACAGACACACACAACTGTAGTTTTACAGTTAACTCTCACAATACAACTAACTGAGGGGAGAGGTCCTGCGTGGGGAGTTAGTGCACAGTGACCCCTGCTGTTACTTTAACAATTAACACTCTTATGTATGATGTCAGTTACCACTGGAGGCTTTTGTCATGAATGTAACTAACTTTTTAAATTCTGAAACATTTTACTCTCATTTACAGAGTGAGTACTGCTCTGACAATAACCAAAGGAAACCTGTGTTGCTGTCTAACTCACTATATGTAGAATAATAACTTCATTTTTAAAGTTTCAAATAGCATTGCAATTTCAGTTATGCTGCTCATAAATTCATTGTTAATAAATTACTTTTTTATGTTTATTGTCTGCTCTGTAGCATTGTGGAATTTACTTGCTCTGGAGGATTTGGGTTTTTGCTGTTTTAAAATAGATATCTTCTAGTATGCTACTCTCTGTCTTTTTTTATTCTGTTTTTTTGCAATTATGTATTTATTTGAGTGGCACAGAGACACAGAAAAAAACAGAGTTCTCCCCTCTGCTAGTTCACTGCCCACAGTGGCCTCAAGCTGGGCCAGGCCAGCTCTGGGAGCTAGGAACCTAATATAAGTCTTCCTCTCTCAGGGGTAGCAGGGATCCAATTACTTGAGCCATTACCTGCTGTCTCCCAGGGTATGCATTAGCAGGAAGTTGGAATCAGGAGCCAGGACTTGAACCCCAGACCTCCAGCAAGGGATGTGGTTGTCCTAACCTGGTTTCTTAACCACTGTGCCAAACAGCAGCCCCTGAAGTTTGCTTTTTTTGTGTGAAATGATATCATCTGCAAATAAGAAGTTTTATTTTTGCCATTCTGATGAAAATGCTTTTTATTTCCTTTTCTTGCCTTAGTATACTGGATAGAACTTGATGCACTTCATTGAAGAGAGTGTTAAAAAGAGCATCCTGGCTGGCGCCGCGGATCAGTAGGCTAATCCTCTGCTTGCGGCGTCGGCACCCCGGGTTCTAGTCCCAGTCAGGGCACCGGATTCTGTCCTGGTTGCCCCTCTTCCAGTCCAGCTCTCTACTATGGCCCGGGAGTGCAGTGGAGGATGGCCCAAGTCCTTGGGCCCTGCACCCACATGGGAGACAGGAGTAACACCTGGCTCCTGGCTTCGGATCAGTGCGGTGCGCCGGCCGCGGCAGCCATTGGAGGGTGAACCAACGGTAAAGGAAGACCTTTCTCTCTCTCTCTCTCACGGTCCACTCTGCCTATCTGAAAATATATAAATATATATATATAAAAAAAAAATAGAGGGAGCATCCTAACTTTTCTATCTTAGGGGAAAAGCAGTATGTATAATATCAGCTTTAGATTAAGCGGAGATGTTCTTTATCAAGATAAGTTTCCCTGTATTCCTATATGTCTGAAGGTTTTTATCATGCGTGAGTGTTGAATTTTGTCAAAGGCTTTTTCTGCATCAGTTGAAACAAATGTGATTTTTCCCCCCATTTTTAAAGATTTATTTATTTATTTGAGAGTTACAGAGAGAGAGTGAGAGATATGGATCCTCCATCCATTGTTTCATTCCCCAGATGGCCATAATGGCCATGGCTTAGCCAGGCTGAAGCCAGGAGCCAGGAGCCAGGAGCCAAGAGCTTCATCTGGGTCTCACATGTAGGTGACAGGGGCCCAAGCATTTGGGCCATCTCCTGCTGCTTTTCCCAGGCCATGGGCAGGGAGCTGGATTGTAAGTGGAGCAGCAGATGCTCAAACTCATGCCGAAAAGGAATGCCATTGTCTCAGATGGTTGCTTTACCTACTATACCGGCCCTGATTTATTTTTTTTTCTTTAATTCAGCTGTTAATATGATAGATTACATTGGTTGATTTTCAAATATTGAAACAACCATACATTCCTGGAATAAACTTCACTTATTCATGGTATATAATTATTTTTATATATTGCTGAATTCCATTACTTTTCATTTTGTTTATGGTGTTTGCATTTATATGAGAAATATTTGTGGGCTTTCTTTTGCTTTTGATACTTTCTTTGTCCTTATTTTGTTTAAATCAGGGAACTGTTACCTTAAGAGGGAACTCTTCCCTCCTATTCTTTCCACAAGAAATTGCGCAGAATAGGTGTTCATCCATTCTTCTTTAAACATTTTATAGGACTCTGCAATGAAGCTATCTGGACTTGGAGATTTCTTTTGTGATAGTTTTCAAATTATGAATTCAATTTCCTTAATAGGACGAGTTACAATATTTCATTGTGGGCGAGTTGTGGTAGTTTATGATTTTTGAAGAATTAGTATGACTGGTCTTAGTTTGTTAACCTTATGTGTGTAGAGTTCCTCACAGTGTTCCCTTATTATTCATAATTCAGTGTTAACAGTTTGGTACCTGTAGGATTTGTAGGGATGTTTAATTCCTGATATTGGTGTGTTCTATCTCTGTCTCTGTCTCTGTGTTTCTGTCTCCACTTTGTTGATTTTTTCCGAGAAACAACATTTTTGCTTAATTGATATTTTTCTCTATTTTTCCATTTTCAGTTAACATTGAGTTCTGTTCTTTACAAGTATTTTTCCTATTTACTTGCTGGTTCACTACCCAAATGCCTGCAACAGCCAGAGCTGGCCAATCTGAAGCCAGGAACCAAGAGCTTCTTCTGGGTCTCCCATGAAGGATCAAGGGCCCGAGGACTTGGGTCATTTTCTACTGCTTTCCCAGGTGCACTAGCAGAGAGCTGGTTGGGAAGTAGAGCAGCCAGGTCTCGAACTGGTGCCCATATGGGATGCTGGCACTGCAGGCAACGGCATAGCCCCAGCCCCTGAAGAACTTA